GGGTGAGTCGGTGGGCTTGTAACGCTGAGGGGGGAGGGAGTGAAGGTGGGGATCGGAACAGCTTGATAAAAATACATTAATCCACTAAAGAAAAAAAACCAAAACAGTGCGCATAAAATAGACCAGTGGTGTAATGAATGTTAAGAAACTACCAAAATACGGCTAACTACAGCCACAGATGGTTCAGAAGCTGTTTGCCACAGCTGCGCTGTTGCTGGTTTTGTATTGTTTGCTTTTTTCTGTAAAATATCTTCTATTATTTCAGACCAGCATTTCTATTCTTCTCTCGTCGAAGCGCACAGTTCAATTGTCAATGACAACAATCGGACTGTTTAGGTTTCTGTTTACGATTTTGTATGGTCCATCAAGTTTGTTTACAGAAATCGGGCGATTGGTGACAGAAAGCTAGCAGAGAGCAACTAATTGAACAGAAGCAAATAGAACCTTATACTCGCCACACTGGTATGCTTGTTCCCTCTGTTGACACATTGAAACAATATGCGTTACGCAGAAATTAGCAGCAGGGACAGATGAAAAGACTGGCGATCCATAGTCCGGATCATCCTTGGTTGATCAAAGCAAACTGCCAAAAAGTCTGGATTTTTTAAATCCAGCTAATGTTACCAATTGCGTGGAAAAAAATGTTGCATCTGCCTAATACGGAATGTTCCAAAGATAGGCATGGTTTTTTCGACAACAGAGCTACAACAAAAATATACCCAATCTGGAAATAGAGATTGGGCGCACTGTGTGGATTCAGAAGTGAAATTTGGTAGGCTCACTGTGGAGAAAGGGGCTTGTAAACTGATAAATAAGTTTATGGTGCTCTGTCTCCACTTTATAACTTTTAAAATTAAGCGCAATAGTCTATTTTGGTTTAACTATTTATACAATTTAGAAGGTAAAATGCAAAATTTACTAACAGTTCTTTATTTTTACTAGTTAGCAATTAAAAACGACGTCATTTGCCTTTCAGTTGAGACGAAACCTTTTTCGCAAAAACCCCTGTGTTGCGGTAGTTCTTTGCACGCACCCATGCTCTACTTTTTGAGCTATAAAATAGACTTTATATAATTACTAAATATTAAATATTAAATATATGTACTCATTAATAATTTTTTATTTTAAAAAAATTATTTGGACTTATTCTGAACTAATTGTATTTTCTAATTTTGTTCTAAATTTCGAGCATTGAAACTGCAATTCTGTTGTTGTTTTAAATGTTTGGCACGTATTATTTATCTTGCGCTAGAAGAGGGGAAATCTGGATCATTTTCAACATGATAATATAGTATTTCTCATTGATCAGCCGTAGCAGCCCTCCAAGCTCCACAAAAAGCAATAATAAAATTCAAAGGCAAGGACCTTACAACAGCAACATTGGGGATAAACACCACTTCCTTAAATTAAGAATAACACTGCTTAGCTTATGTTTTTTAGACTTCTTTAAAGAGTCCCACAAAACAAACGACACAGATCAACAGATTATTTGTATGTGATTTTTGTAATCGACGCAACAAAAGCTACTGAGTACCTTTCTTTCTTCCCAACACTTTGATTTTGCTAACTTATTGTGAATTCCAATTTTACTTGCCATGCTCCAGTGCCGCGGTTTACGTTTTTCGCAAAACTGTTTAGCTTTATATGGCGGCGCTCCAGCACGTCTTTTAAACGCGCAGACGGCTTGGCGCTTTTCGCGACTCTACGCGTCTGCAACAAAGGACACAACTTCCGATCAACAGCAAAGACTTATTTATGAGATCCGCACATATCAGAAGGAAAATGTGACTATTCCGTGGTACATGTTGGCTGCACAGTATCGTATGACCATCGACTCTATAAAGCAAATTCTGGGACAGGATGATACGAGGATCCGTGAGCAGAAGGAACTTTCTGTGCGTGTTACACAACGTGCTGAACAGTTATACGACAAGGATCGTGGTCGCTGTGACTGGGAAGCTGTGGCTAACGAGTTTGAAAAACCACTCATGCAATGCCTCGCGCTCTATGACGCCGCTTTGTCCACAATTGTCGCAAGGTCGCGACCTAACATCACAGACTGGCCAGTCGAGGATGTTGAGGTGATAAAGTCATTTGTGGCAAAGCACCTTGATTCTATTACAAGCGATAATCTGCGACTAGCCAGCATTTATATGAACGTCACACACGATGACTGCATTTCTATTAATTTCTTATTTGGTCGTCCTAAGATGACAGCTGATCTACACGAAGCAATCAAGCAGTGTCGTGAAGATGGTATGAGATGGAAAGATATTCACGTAAAATACCCTTTCTGGCGTAGTTGGCAGACACTGTGTTTTTCATATACGCGATTTGGTCGCAAATTGCCGCATAAGGCAGCTAGGGATGTTCAGATCAAATGGACTAAATCGGAAACCACTCGCATTCAGGAGATTTTAAAAGAGCATTATAAGCCTGGCAACATAAGATTGGCAATACAGGTCGCCACTGCCGAGTTTGCTTATAAACCTAAAATAAAGGTTAAGGGAAAAATTATTAGGACACACAAGAAACTTTATCTAAAACCCAGCAAGCAAAATGAGGCGAAGATGAGAAGGCTGGTGGAAACGCATGGCGAGGAC